GAGCAGCCTCCTTCCTCAACAGATTAGCTTAGGATTTTTTATTTTTGAGTTATATTTGTAATGAACATTTTTGTAATTGATTGTTTACTAATTTATAAAATTTTTGAAGTTATTTTTGGTATTCAGTTTTGATTTCTAATTGTTATTTTGTTTTAAGTAAATCACTTTGGATAAAATAAAGTGACTTTGATTAACACAAGGAACTAATCTCGGACACACAATAAAATGAACAGCAAGGGAATTGACTTCCGATATACATAAGGCGGACCTCAAATATACAAATGAGAAAAGACAAAGTAAATCATGCCAAAAGTAAAGTGTGATTCATTAATAAAATCATAACCCAGAAAGTGTAGTGACTAAATAAGTTACAATGAATTAACTTCAGGAATAAGTGAAATTCACTTCCAACGTATAGAAGGGTAGAAAGAACTGAATCATTTCGAATATGAAGTGAAATTCATTAATGAGATAAATGAATTGAACTCATATATACATTGAGTAGAAAAAGAGAATAATGACAATTATAAAAATAAGACAAAGTTTATTGGAAAGAAATGTATTAAGGGTAAAATTTCTTCAAATTATTGACATTCCAGACTCTAGGAACCCTTTTGCCTTCAGTGTCCCGTAGGATATAAGCACCTGGGTGTGGCATTTCAGCTACAGTGTAGGGGCTTTCCCAGTTTGGTGCTAACTTTTCGAATCGAGTTTCGAACCCCATTAAGCCAGCTTTCCTAAGAACAAGGTCTCCTATTTTGAATGTTCGGGGTCAAACTTGTTTGTTGTAGAAGTTTGCTATTTTTTGCTTGTAAATTAGAGTTCGAAGTTGTGCTTCTTCTCTGACTTCGTCAAGAAGATCAAGGTTCTCACGAAGCAGTTGTCCATTTCGTCCTTTATCGAAATGGGTGATCTTGAAGCTTGGGACTCCTATCTTGATAGAAATGACTGCTTTGATACCAAAGGCCAGGTGATAGGGTGTTTCACCTATTTTAGTTAATTATAATTTTAGAATGTACTTTACGTGTTATGCATATTTGATCTAAGGTAAAGCTGTAGAAGAAAAAGTAAAATGAAAGTTAATCAAGTAAACCAGGTTTGAAGTAATACCTGTGGCAGTTCGACTCGTGGTTCTGTAAGCAAAAGCCTAAAAATAGCCCCTTACCTTGATAAGTTGGACGGTTTTGGCCCCTCACCTTATAATATAATGGTTTTAACCACTAACCTATAAGAATGGAAGAAAATAACCCTTATTTGTAACTTCCATCATACGTCTGTTACCATCCGTCACTTCCGTCACTTATATTTCCGTTAACTTTGTCCTGCTTATATAATAAATAAAAAAATCGGAAAGCTTCTCCAAGAAGCCTACTGCATTTTTTTTGGGAATTCAAACCTTTTTTTTTCCAAGAATTGTAACATTTTTTTTACCTTTATTTTTAAAGATGACTGCACATGTATTAATTGTATATAATTTTTACATATTATTAAATAAATAGATATAATTAATATTATAG